AAAGCTTGAATTTTCAGGTTTCTCCCCAAAATGCTGATGCTGCGATGGAGAAATTCTTGATCATGTCTTATTTATTCATATTTCAATAATTACTTTTTCATGGGAACTTATTCAGGTGCGTCTGAAGAAAATATACGGGAGCTTTTCTTAAAAGCACAGAGGACCGCCCCTTCGATTGTGTTTATTGATGAGATTGATGCTATTGCTTCAAAAAGAGAGAATTTACAAAGAGAGATGGAGAGGCGGATTGTGACACAATTAATGGTGTGTATGGACGAATCTCATAGACTTGTAAAACCAACTGATGTAAATTCAGAATCAAAATCTCCTGATAGTACAACTGGTTATGTTCTTGTTATTGGAGCCACTAATAGACCTGATGCTGTTGATCCTGCGCTAAGGAGGCCCGGGCGTTTTGATCGTGAGATTACTTTAGGTGTGCCGGACGAGACTGCAAGAGCAGAAATCCTTTCTGTTCGTATTACTAACAACGGGATGAGACTTGAAGGTTCTTTTGATCTGCTGAAAATAGCCCGGTCCACCCCAGGTTTTGTTGGAGCTGATTTGGTTGCCTTGGCTAACAAAGCTGGTAACATTGCCATGAAGAGGATTTCAGATGATAAAAGGTCTAAGGTATCTAAAGATTGTAAAGATGAGGAACATTATAAAGAGTGGTGGAAGGAACCTTGGTCGCCTGAAGAAATGGAGAAGCTTACCATCACTATGGCAGATTTTGAGGTGACCTTTAAATTCTGTTCTTTTTTCTTCTCCCACAACCTTACCCAACTATAGTTTCCATATTCTCCAAATTTATAATCTTCCTAGAGTTATCAGTAGTAAATTGTTATTTGAGATGAGTTTCAAAATGCTTTATATGCAACTCTGCACTGGTTAAAACTATCCTTAATGTCATGCTGAAAAGTAGTATAAAAGTAGTTCGGCAGCAAAAAAGTTACTGTATTGTTTGTGAACGCAAATCAGTTAGTTTTCTGCCTTAGATAAATCCTGGACATAACTGTGTCAGTCAGTTACTTTTATGGCTTAAGTAAATCCTGGACATAATTGTGTTAGGACTGTTAGTCAGTTACTTTTTCTAAGTAAATCCTGGACATAACTGTGTGAGTTAATTTTGGTGATATCTTTCAGGAAGCAGTGAAATTGATTCAACCCTCTTCTAAAAGAGAAGGATTCTCTGACATTCCCAACATAAAATGGGAAGATGTTGGTGGGCTAGATCTTTTGAGGCGGGTATTTGATCGGTATATAGTTAGGTGTATCAAATATCCCGAGGAATATGAGGTATATTTTAACACGCTAATAAACAAGAAGATTCCAGTTTGAGTACATTTTATGAATTTTGTGGAGCATTTGGTTTTAGTCTGGCATATAAGCAAGCATACCCCTTGTTATATATGCACACACACACACACACACACATATCTTGATCTCTGTTCTTCAGATTGTTAATCTGTTCAGATAGGGTTATGTTTGTTTAAAACACTGTCTGGAGTGTGCCAAAAGATAAATCATGCAGAAAATGAAAAGAAATTTCTAAAGACAATTTTTTTTTTTAATTTACCTTTATGGTGTTTAATAGCCGAGTAATTTGATTAATTATTCCTCTTAATTAGCAACAACCTGCTGCGGCCATGCTTTAAATTGTTATTCTTTCAAAGCATTTTTGTAGTAAAATGGCTGCTTATGAATCTTTAAACAAATGCTGTCTAGGAATTTGGAGTAAATTTAGAGACGGGATTTTTGCTATATGGGCCTCCAGGATGTGGAAAGACATTGATAGCAAAAGCTGTTGCCCATGAAGCAGGGGCTAATTTCATTCACATTAAGGTCAGGCCTTTTACCTTCACGGAAAAGAGACATTTGAAAATTTTGTCATTTTAAAGTTATTTTTTCCTGAAGTTGGGAACTAAATTCATGTGATTATGTAATTTTTGTGGATAGGGTCCTGAACTTCTGAATAAATATGTTGGAGAGAGTGAGCTGGCAGTACGGACCTTATTTAGTCGTGCAAAGACGTGTTCACCATGCATACTTTTCTTTGATGAGGTTTGTGGTCGTCTCTCCTTACTGTCATATGCATGACTGGAAGCGTCATGGGAAGCAAACAAGAAGAGGCTAGTGTGCAACTTACCCCTGTTTTATAGGGGCTTATGCTTTCCACTCACTGTTCTCTAAACGAGGCGTTGGAGAGATCTAACAAAAGTGCTAATTTAGTGTCTCCCTTATTTCTGACCTCGTTTCTGCTTAATCTTCCTCTTGGAGTTATTTAACAATCTTAATCACTAATGAACTATTTGGTATTGCTTTAACTTGTTTTAGAACATGACTGTATTTCTTATAATCATAGTTAGCAAGAGGGAGAATGTGGCAGTCTATATTATTGCTTTGAGTTTAATTTATTCTATGCTTGTTATATGCTAACAGCACCTATAGGCTAACATAGTTTGTTCCAGTTTATGCAATAATGTTTCTGGTCTTGGAGTGATGAACTCGGTGTTTTTTTTTTTTTTTTTTTCCTAGGTGGATGCCTTGACGACAAATAGGGGAAAAGAAGGGGGATGGGTCACTGAGCGGCTCTTGAACCAGGTCAAAAATTTGCAAACCCTGTCTTGATTTGCAAGTTTATTCATTTTGTTTATATAATTATTTCAGAAATTCTATTCCGTGACAAAAAAAAAAAAAAAATCCTTTTTTCAATCATTGCAGTTACTCATAGAATTAGATGGTGCAGAACAACGCCGGGGTGTATATGTAATTGGTGCCACAAATAGGCAAGAGACATTTGTTTGATCATCAGTTTGTTAGAGCATCATAATCTCTCTCTTACATTTGTGCCTGTTTATGCAGACCTGAGGTGATGGACAATGCTCTTCTGCGGCCGGGTAGGTTTGGTAAACTTCTGTATGTACCACTGCCAAGTCCTGAAGAACGTGGTTTAATTTTAAAAACGCTGGCGAGAAAGAAGCCTGTAGATGCAAGCGTGGATTTGAATCTCATTGCACAGATGGAGGCTTGTGAGAATTTTAGTGGCGCTGACCTGTCTGCACTGGTATGTGCTCTCTTAATTGATTATTATTTTTGTTTTTTTTGTTTTTCAATGTGATGTTGCCTTATTCCAAGTATGCATATGGAAGGCTGAGGGTTAAAAAACGTAAAAGGGGCTCTTAGAGTTAATATGACATTTAAGTGTCGCAGGTCAATGAAGCTGCTATGGCTGCTCTCGAAGAGAAACTGACATCAACAAATAGCAACGTAGATGGAGTTCCTCGTATCATCAAAGCAACGCACTTCGAGCTAGCAGCAACTAAAATAACTCCATCTGTGACTATCGAGGTATTAGTTCACTCAATTCTTGTTGATCGGTAATGCTCAAATCCGTAATTCATATTAATCGTCTTACTATAATTTCCACTTACTGCTTGTGTCTGTCCATTTGGAAAGCAGCAAAAACGGTACTACCAGATATTATCAGAGAAATTCAAAGCAGTATGACTCAAAACAAAAGCCAATTTTTCATGTCCCGTGGTGGAGGTTGTGAGAATGTTCATTGTCCATTACACAAAAAAGGTTAAATTAAGACGCAAAGGGCCAAAGGCCATTAATTTTTCCGGACAGTGAATTGTCATCTTTTTTGCATTTTGATGTTAATTTTTTTCTTTTCTGTTTATTTAATTTAAAAACGGGTCACCTGTACATCCAACTGGGAGAAAATTTTTGCAGTATAGGTACTAGGTAACCCCAAGTGTTTACGATGGAAGGTTCTATACAAGGACGCGGTCATTTGTCGTGCATTTTCATTTCCCCGTGTTGAATGAGGAACAATTTTGTAGTATTGAAAAATGAAAATCTCATCTTCTTATGGGACATGAATTTATTTACCTTTCCAGGTTTGTTCATTCTTTCATTTGTTAAAAGGTTAGCTGGTTTCTTCAGTAGTGAGAGATATGGGCTTAGATTACAAACTCAACTCATGGGTTATTTGGATGTGCCGTTAGTTAGAAGTTACTCTGATCAGAGCATGTAACATGTCTGGTAATATATATATATATTTTAAGAGTTGTTGTGAATAGCATAAACATAAATTTATATGATAAATTACGTACAAAATTACTGTGGAGATGTATAGTGACTAAAATAAATATACTTTAGTACACATATATTATTGTTATTTTCATCTATTTTTAAGATCAATATTCATAACATTTTTATACCATCATAATAAAAAATTTATATGATTTTAACTTATCATTTAAAATGTTTCTAAAATATAAATTGTTAAATTTATTATTTATTTATGTTATTTTTAAATATTTTGACAAGTATAAAAAATATTTGAGTAATATTTGACATAGTACATTTTAAAAATGTTTTTAATTTTTAAATGAATATTTAAAAGTATATTGATGAAGATCACAATTATAAGTTTTTAGAATTATAATTATTTTAAGTTATTTTATATTTTATTTAATGTTTATCTTTAAGATTATTTGAGTTTGATTATTATTGGGAGTTAGATTATTTTTATAATTACTATGTCTATAAATAGAGATGATATTTGTATGTTTCAGTTAAGACTTTGATGATTAATAAAATACAAATAATTTTCCCTCTCTGGTTTTCTTCTTCCTAAATTATACTATTTCTTCCCTTCCCCATCTGCTTCTCTCTCTATTCTTCTATTTCTCTCTATTTTCTTAAATCTTTTTGGTCTGACATCATATATACTTTTGGTATGAAAAATATATTTCCCGTTCGGTTCGCTAATTCGAGTTGAGATGTGATGTTGTGTGAGAGTTTTTTACTGTAGCAAAAAAGTTAGATATGACTGTTTCTGAGAGCTTTTTACTGTAGCAAAACTCGAATTAGCGAAAAGAACGAGGCTTTAGACAATAACAACAGAAGTAGTTGTGCAAAAGCAATTTAGAACTTGCTTTTTAAATTTTGTTGTGTGACCGCAGTTTTTAAAAACTGTTGGAAAAAAGTATGATTTATCAAACACCTTGACTTGCTTTAATTTCTTAAAAAAAAAAAAGAGTTTAAAAACAATCTCTAAAAATAATGCCGCCTTACAAGTTTTTTATTTTTTATTTTTTCATTTTTTTAAGGGATTAATCATTTTCGGTGTGGTAAATAGAAATCTTGGAGGCAAAGAAGTGTTCCTGGGAAGCTTCAGAATAATGTCTCTGACTTTAATCCCATCCTTAGGGGTCAATCTCGGCAATGCATAGTTGGGTAAAAGATGGCACTGGTTGGTCTATAAATAAAAAAGATGAGATTGGGGACAAAAACTCCTATTTCCGTTTGATCGCTCAAGCTTTCACACATTGAGTCAGAATTTTTACACTTTATTTTTGATTCATAACCTTTTTAGTTAAATAATTACACTAGCAAAGGGGAATTTATCGAGAGTAACAGTGTGTTTGGTATGAATGAAAAGTGAAAGGAAAGAAAATGTTGGGAGGGATTTTGGGATGAAAATTGGTAAGTTAGCTTGTTTGGTAGAAAGGAAATTAGAAAGGAAAAGAAAATTGAATGAAAATTGTGATTGGTGGGTCTCATCATATTTAATCTCTCTAAAAATAGGCGGATTTTAGAAAGAAAAATGTAAATAACTACCAAAATGAAGTTAAATTACTGAATTGTACTCATTTTTCATCCAAAATTGGCTTTTTTTTTTGGGGTGCTAGAAAGAAGAGATAAATGGTTCTTTCTCTCTCCACTCAGCACACCTTTCACACGGAAAAAACATCATTCCATTGTTGAAGATTGAAGGTAGTTCTATTGTTCAAGATTGAAGGTACATGGTCTAAACTTCAATTTTAAAATTAGCTTTGTGGGTGAATCTCTCACTCCCTTGCTCTTTCTTTTATCTTTCTCTCTCTTATTCTTCTTCTTCTTCTTTTTTTTTTTTTTTTTTTTTTTTTTTAAATTTACTCCCCCAAAATTTTTTTTTGTCATTGAAATATTTCTATTCAATTGTACATTACAATTGACTCGTCCAAAATTTGTTTTTACTTGTCTAATATCAATGTTGTATGTTATTTGAGAAGTTCTAGTGATTTTTTTAAGGATTGAATTGGCTAATGATAATTTGGGAAGTTCTCTTATTTGGCAGTTATAATAAATACTGTATTATTTATATTTTATTAAAAAAGAATATTAATAAAAAAAATATTTAGGCAAAAAAGTAATTATACTAATAATAATTTTTCTATCTATTTAGTTTCACTTCCAATACCAAACAAGGAAATGTAGATTCATTTTCTTTCTTCCTTATCATACCAAACAAGTAAAGGAAAAATCAAAATCTTTTCTATCTTTCTAATATTCTATGCATTATAGTTTTCCTTTCCCTTCTATTTTCTTTTCATATTACCAAACAAAGTGTAAAAGTAAAGGTGCAGACTCATGCATTCTGAAGAGTAAATTTTTCATTTTTTCATAAAAAGAATTAGGATGGAGTAATTTTACCCCTTGAAAAAAAATCCTTTCAAACAGATATATCTATATTTTTCTTTTATGTGTGTGACTGAATTTGACATGAGAATTTTTCATAGAAATGTAGCAATGAGATACACAATAATTGCCGTTACTTTATCTTAGGGGGTATTTTGCGGATCAATTAACGCTCGAGTTAATATATTGGAAAACCGAATCAATCCAATGTACTTGGAATAACCGAATTAAAACCCGGTCACCATACATCGGTCCCTTGTGGCTGTCATTTCCAACATAACTACATAAAACATTAGTTTACTAAACATAAAACATTAGTTTACTAAACATAAAACATAGATAATAATTAGATGTCATATTCAAACGTTACGTTTTGTAATATATCTGTTACACCATGGTCGACCATTCAAGCCACCCACTTTTGTCGTACGCGTCGAGAGCTCTGAAAGTCAGGACAAATCCCTGATGTCGAGAACTAACAGTTAGGGAGATGTCTCTAGGTTGAGGATCGCTCTTGGAGTTGAGAAGTGCTCAAGGTCCTCTCAAGGCCTTTGCGTCGTTGAAGTCGAGAAGTATGCTAAAAGCCCTTTGAAGCCTCTGGGTCGATGAGTCAAGGTGTTGGAGTCGAGAAGTGCTCAAGGTCCTCTCAAGGCCTTTGCGTCGTTGAAGTCGAGAAGTATGCTAAAAGCCCTTTGAAGCCTCTGGGTCGAGGAGTCAAGGTGTTAGAGTCGAGAAGTGCTTAAGGTCCTCTTAAGACCTTTGCGTCGTTGAAGTCGAGAAGTATGCTAAAAGCCCTTTGAAGCCTCTGTGTCGAGGAGTCAGGAATTAGATCAGACCGGAAGCAGTCCAGTCAAATCCAGCAGCAGTCTTGTCAACTCGAAAAGAGAAGTATTGATCCGACTGCTACTGCAGGAGTCAGGAAATTAGGCGGCAGACAGGAAGGATCAACCGCGTTTCCCGGAGCAGTCATCATGAAAACTCACCTACTCTTACGCGGATCAAGGACAGAAGATGACTTCCTCCTTGGGAACGGGGAATACGTATTCACATGTAAAGGCCTATAAATAGAGCTAAGAAAACCGAGAGAAGGGGGAAACATCATTTCATTACAAAAGAGGAGAGAGTTTGTAACTGACTGAAAGACTAGTGCATGCACAAGTGGATTAGGCAAAGAGTTATTACCGAACCACTATAAAATTATTGTCTCGTTACATTATTTTTGAGTTTTTATCCTTAATCACACCTTGAGTATCACCGTGAGTGTTTTTGGAGAGGTAATTACGAGTTGTCGAAAAAATACCGTCAACAATATCCGTGAAAGAAAACGGCGGGCGGCGTTACAAACCGTTGTTAAAGCTTATATTTGGGCTAGTGCTACTTCATTTGTGTTCCCGCCATGCAAAAGAATTTAATTACAATCTCCCAATTTTGCAAATCTAACAATACTTAAATTGAATTCTTGCTCTCTTGTTTTCATTTGAAGGATTTAGGTACTGGGGCAATTATTTTTGCAGGGTCAAATCAAAGCTGGGTGTGTACGAATGTCTAAGGTCTCCCATCAAGTCGTCTCCTCTAGTTGCCATTTCAAGTGCTAAAACCACTCCATCCGAGTGACATCACAGATTAGGTCAACTCTCGTCTTCTATCCTTAAACACATTATTTCTGGTTTTCATTTATAGTCTTCGAGTCCATTGTCTACCTTTATTCCTCCTTTCATGTCTATTCGTTTGATGATTTTAAATAGTATTTTATCTTTGTGGACCACTTTACAAAATATATTTAGGCCCCGCTCATTTCGCTGATTCGAGTTTTTAATTTGAGTTGAGATGTGATTTTATGTGAGAGTTTTTTACTGTAGCAAAAAAGTTAGATGTGATTGTTTGTGAGAGCTTTTTACTGTAACAAAACTCGAATCAGTGAAATGAACGGGACCTTAGTTTTACCTCTTCAAATGCAAGTCACATGTGTCAGATATGTTCGTTCGTTTTAAAGTTCTTGTATATTAGTTTTTCAATTAGAAAATTATCCTTACTCCAATAATGGTGGAGAATACCAAGCACTTTACACATTTTTGGCCGCAAATGGTATTAGAGCCAAATCAAAGTGGCTCGATTCATCAAATACAAGATTGGTAATTCCAAAAAGAGCATCATTTTACGAGGACATGTTAAGCATAAACTACTCGAGTCTCATATCGTATAAATATAAACATAATCACATACATATAAGCATATTGAGCCACCATACTTAACAGATTGACATTTTAAATGAAACCTCAATCCCTTATAAAGTAGAATTATTCTCTCTCAATTTTCTTCTCTTTTCACTACAAGAAAATTGATATTTTGCCACCAAAATTGTTTTGGTAGTGAAATCATCCCTTTTAGTTACAAAACTTTGATAGCCG